TTGTTTGCCCGGTGCTGGAGGCGTACTGCTGGAGCTGGAGCTTCTTCGGCCGCTGAGGGTACTGTGGCCGCCGGTCCCGAAGGTACTCGTCCTGGGAGTGCTGGAGCTGCTGGGCCTGCGGGTACGTCTGGAGCTGGAGCTGCTGAGGGTGTTGGCGCTGAGGCTACTGCTGTAAGTCCTGGCGGTGGTCCTGCTGCGGGTGCTGCTGGTACTGCTGGAGGTCCTGCAGCTGGAGGTGTTGTTGGCGCTGGTGCTGCTGCTGAGGGTGCCCGTGCTGTCCCTGCTGTGTCTGGAGTCGCCGCGCGGCCTCGGCCGTACTTCGTTCCGCTCCTTCAGCAGGCTCTTGGTCCTTCTTCTCCTGTAGAGTGTCCACCGCCTGTCCAGTCACAGTCACAGTTACCGCCCGCCTCCCCACTGCCTGCTCCCTCTCCTTACACTGGTCCTACTAGAGGTCTTGCTGAGCGTCGTGAGCCTCCGTCTCGTCCCGCGTCGCCTGTTTGTGCTGCTCGCGCTAGTGGTAGCGGTTCGCGTCAGCGTCCTCCTCCTGTCCCTGGCACGCACCGGATGTCTCTGCGTCCGTCCACTGCTCCTCTGCGTGTCCCTTTGCCTTCTCCTCCTGAGTCCTCTCTTCCTGCGCTTGCCGACCCGGAGTCGGACTCTCTTCGTGCTGCCAGTCCTACCGTCACGCGTCTCCTTGCTACTGTCGTCACTGACCCCTGTTTTGAGTCCACTGCTGCGTTTGCTCTTGTTGCTGAGCTCGTCGACTTTGCTGCTCGCTGTCGTCTAGACTACGCTGCTATTCTTATTGCTGAGTCTGAGTCTGTCTGTCCTCCGTCCGTCGGGGGTGAGTGTGCTCTTCGCACGGACGTCCTTGAGGACAGGCAGGAGGAGTTCCAGTGTCTGGCTGCTGCTTCACCTCATCTCGCGTCCGTACTGCTTGCCCCTGAGGGAGACCTGGATGCACTAGACATCCCGACTCCGCGCTCTTACACGGAGGCCGTAGAGGGTCCCTACTCCTCTCAGTGGCAGGCAGCTATGGATGCAGAGATGGCTTCCTGGAAGTCCACAGGCACCTACGTTGACGCGGTTCCTCCTCCTGGGGCGAACATCGTCAGTGGCATGTGGATCTTCAGGGTGAAGCGGCCGCCGGGCTCTCCACCTGTCTTCAAGGCGCGGTACGTGGCTCGTGGCTTCAGTCAGCGGCAGGGAGTTGACTACTTTCAGACCTTCTCTCCCACCCCGAAGATGACTACTCTTCGGGTGCTGCTACACATATCCGCTCAGCGTGACTACGAGCTTCACTCCCTTGACTTCAGCACTGCTTTCTTGCAGGGTAGCCTGCACGAGGAGATCTGGCTGCGCCGTCCACCTGGCTTCACTGGGACTTTCCCTCTTGGCACCCAGTAGAGCCTCCGACGGCCAGTCTACGGTCTCCGCCAGGCACCGCGCGAGTGGCACGACACACTGAGGACTACGCTTGCGGCTCTTGGGTTTGCTCCCTCTACTGTTGACCCGTCGTTGTTTCTGCGCACCGACACCTCTCTGCCGCCGTTCTACATCCTCGTGTACGTTGACGACTTGGTTTTTGCCACAGCTGACACTGCTGGACTCGCCCACGTGAAGTCGGAGCTGCAGAAGAGACACACGTGCACAGACCTGGGTGAACTGCGTAGCTACCTTGGCTTGCAGATCACCCGGGACAGAGCACGCCGCACCATTACCTTGACTCAGTCACACATGATGCAGCAGGTCCTTCAGCGCTTCGGCTTCACGTACTCCTCGCCTCAGGCCACTCCTTTGTCTATTCGCCACTCGCTCTCAGCTCTGCCTTCGGATGAGTCCGTAGAGTCGAGTGGCCCGTACCCAGAGCTTGTTGGCTGCCTCATGTACCTGATGACCTGCACACGACCTGACCTTGCATACCCTCTTAGCATTCTTGCACGCTATGTTGCTCCTGGGAGACACAGACCAGAGCACATGGCTGCAGCGAAGAGGGTGTTGCGCTCCTTGTGCAGTATGTCGGGCATGGGGCTAGTGCTTGGAGGGCGGAGTCCAGTGGTCCTCACTGGGCACGCGGACGCTTCTTGGGCTGACGACCAGGCTACGCAGCGGTCGTCACAGGGTTACACCTTCAGTCTTGGTTCCGGCTCTGTTTCGTGGCGGGCTACTCGCTCGTCTTCTGTTCTCGGCTCCAGTTGTGAGGCTGAGATCTACGCCGGGGCTAGGCTACGTACGCAAGTCGCAACTGACCACGCTGCTGCAACTCACGAGCAAGAAAGTAGCGGAGAGCAATGTGCTTTGTTCTGTGCTCCAGGCGCTGCTCCCGACAAAAGGCCAGCATGGCCTTGTTGTCTACGTACAACAGTGGAGGAGAACGAGGCGGCTCTCCGAGGTCAGTCAGCAGGTAGGTGAGCTAGCGAAGCTCCTGTGCAGCCATGGCCCCGGCGTAGATCTCAGCCTCACAACTGGAGCCGGAGAACAGGTACGGCAGCATGAGGCGGCTAAGGGCAGCAGTGGCAGGGGAAGAGTAGCGTGCAACTACAGCGTCGTACAAGGTCTTAGCACTCTTGTACTGACTAAAGTGCGCGCGCTCAGTGGACGGCAAGTGACTACGCACAACAAGATGGGCAGCAGCATCGCGTGTGGCCCACTGGGAGCGAACAGTGCTGTCAGCATCGGTAGTAGGGGCAGGAGAGGCGCCAGACGTGAGATCGAACAGTGAGAGAGCGTCTTTCCTATCGCACTACAGGAAAAGCTGCAGATCATCGACCCAGACATCAAAGTCGACAGCCCGACCGTCAGCATCAAAGGTGAGAACGCTAGGGGTAGCCATGACAACAGCAGCAGCAGGCTAGTGGCAGTAGCAGCAGACGCGGCTCGGTGGTTCTCTTACCAGGGCGGGTGGGTAGGGGCCCGCAAGTGGTGGGGCAGGGCCGAGGCGCGTCGGCAGGGACAGGGCCGCGACGGCGGCTGCGGCTCCTGCTGTCGGCGGCGGCGGCGGTTCCGGCCCCAGCACCGGCGGTCTCGGCAGCGGCGGCTGCGGCCCCGGCAGTGGCGGCGGCGGCTGTCACGGCAGCGGCGGCGGTGGCTACTGCTGTCGGCGGCGGCGGCTGCTGCTGTCGGCGGCCGGCGCTGCTTTCGGCGGCGGCGGCTGCTGCTGGCGGCGGCTGCTGCTGTTCGCGGAGAAGCCGAGAAGGGGCCGGTAAGGGCGGCGAAGGGGCCACGAAGGACCGTGAAGGGTCCGCGAAGGGCGGCGACGGGGCCGAGACGGGACCGTGAGGGGCCGCGAAGGGTGGCGACGGGGCCGAGACGGGGCCGTGAGGGGCCGCGAAGGGCAGTGACGGGGCCGAGAAGGGGCCGTGAGGGGCCGGAAAGGGCGGCGATGGGGCCGAGGAGGGGCCGCAAGGGGCCTTGAAGGGCGGCGACGGGGCCGAGAAGGGCGGCGGCGGGGCCTTGAAGGGCGGCGACGGGGCCGCGAGGGGCCACGAAGGGGCCGCGAGGGGCCTAAAGGGGCCGCAAAGGGCCGTGAGAGGGGCCGTGAGGGGCCGTGAGAGGGCCCGCTATGGGCCCGTAAGAGAGCGCGACGGGCCGCTAAGGACAGGGAACGCGACGGGAGGGCAGGCACACGGGGCGCGACTCGGGCAGGGGCGAAGCGCGCTCCGGGCAGGAAAAAAAAAAATGATTTTCGGTGGGCCCTAGGAAACGTTCCCACTAGGGAACCTGCTCTATACCATGTGAAAGAACGAGGAAATGAATGCACTAGGAAACAGGTGGGTACAAGTAGGAAAACCTAAAAGTGTTGTACCCCATATTATCTACCCCACTGCAACCTACACAGACTATAGCATATAAGTTTGACAAAGTGGAGGCTCTTAAAACAGTATACAGTACGCCTGTTGTCCCGTTCGACCCTACCGAGGCGTTTCCAAATAAGACCACCAAGCCACCTTCGCACCCAAAGAGGCCAGGGCGTCCACGTACAACACGTCTCAGAAGTTCTGGTGAGGTGGATGGCGATAAGATGAAAAAGTGTGGGAAGTGTGGTGAGAAGGGTCATAATGTGCGCACATGTGAGTTGCGGGCAGCACAACGAGCAGCATGGGAAGCCAGTCAATCACCACAAGCTCATGTTGAGATGCAAAAATGCACAATTGCGATGGGTGAGGTACAAGTGTCAAAGTGCAGCGCGTGTGGAGAGCTACATCGTGACGGGATTCGTTGTTCAGTTGTACGAAAGATGGAAGCTCGAGCACGACGGAGTGGAGATGTGGAAGAGGGTGATGGTGGGAGAGTGGAACAAGGAGTTGCGAGCGATGAGGATACGGAGTATTACCTCACATCAGACTCTAAAGGAAGCGACTGGCAGGAGGAGGAGGGAGCAGGGAGGCGGCAGCCACCGCGGCCAACAGAAAGGCAACATCAGGGGGGGCAGCAGCAGCAGCAGCAGCGGCAGGGGAAGCAGAAGGGGCAGCGGGGGCAGAGGCAGCAGTGAAGGGGAAGGCAGCAGCAAGCAGGGCAGGAGCAGGGGCAAGGGCATTGGCAGGGGCAGCAGCAGGAGGAGCAGGAGCAGCAGCAGCAGCAGCTGCTGCTGCAGGGGCTAGGGCAGGGGCAGCAACAGCAGCATGGCCAGGGGCATGGGCAGCAGCAAGCAGGGCAGGGGCAGGGGGTGGGGCAAGGGCATGGGCAGGGACAGCAGTAAGAGGAGCAGGAGCAGCAGCAGGGGCAAGGGCAGGGGCAGCAACAGCAGCATGGCCAGGGGCATGGGCAGCAGCAAGCAGGGCAGGGGCTGGGGCAGGGGCAAGGGCATGGGCAGGGACAGCAGCAGCGGCAGCGGCAGCAGCAGCATCAGGGTACACAACAGGGGAATATGAATACGGCGGGCCCAAGAAGTACCGCAGCTGTTGTCCGGGGACGTTTGCGCAAGCTGTCACGCCTGAATCTACAATAACAAGTGCCAGATTTGGAAGATGCTGGAACAGAAACTACTGAGAGAAGTATGTCTAGTGGCCCGTCTCAAAGAAACCGGCGACGTGAAACTCAAGGGGAAGGAGAGCAGCAGAGACGGCAAAAGCAAAGAGGTCAACAACAGAGACGGCAGCAACAGATACGTGGGCAGCGGCAGGGGCAGCAGGCGGGGCAGCAGCAGACAGGGCAGCAGCATGGGCAGCAGGCGGGGCAGCAGGCAGGGCAGCAGGCAGGGCAGCAGGCAGGGCAGCAGGCAGGGCAACAGGCAGGGCAGCCGGCAAGGCAGCAGGCAGGGCAGCAGACAGGTCAGCAGACAGGACAGCAGCCAGGTTAGCAGCCAGCAGGGCAGCAGGAAGCGGGGCAGCAGCATGCTGGGCAGCAGCAGGCATGGCAGCAGCAGGCAGATTGGATGTGGCAGGCAGGGCAGCAGCAGGGGGGACAGCAGGGCTTGGCATAGCAGGGCATGGCGCAGCAGGGCATGGAACAGCAGGCAGACCAACAGCGGGCGGTTTAGTAGCGCGTGTGGCTGCAGCAGCTGGGTTTGCATTGGCAGAGAGTTAGAGTCCCTATGCCGGAGCCAGGGATTGCCACATCTTATCATGTGGGTGGCATGTATAGAGGGGTTGGCACACTACGAGAAGGGCTGTACTGGCAATACCCACGGACGGTGCCAATGCAGTCATACACGAATCACCAATGGCCATCGTATGGAGCGCCAATCCACGCCATACAACCTGCGGATGGTGGTGACTCTGCGATAGGTGTAGAAGGTGCACAAGGTGGAACTGAATTCTCAGAAGAACAGGTTGAAGAAGATGAGTAGCCCCACTATTGAGCTAAAGCTCATACATTCATCGTGAACAACAGATCGCCATGATCTCAAGCAATTTGGGCTTGTTGTAGTGATTAAAAGGGGTTCCAACATTGGTGCATTTAGCACGGGTACCTGTTAGCAATTTATAAAATGTTTTTCTAAACCATGGACAACACCCTAAACCCTAAACTGCAGGTAATCCGAAACACGAGAAACATGCCCGAGTGTTAGAGGGAGTTTACCCTACCGCTGTTAAGGATATATCTTATGTTACATGTGTATTTAATGACACATAATTAACGCCATGGTATACCACTTGTTTCAATATACATGTATGGCAAATCATTAATTTTGGTGTAGGAAAAAATTACAAACACTCACGAAGGGTTTGCTGATTTGCCATGCGCAGCGTCCGTCATCTGCGTAAACAGTACAACAGATCTAGCATTAGATTCGTTCAAGAAGTGCTGGCACGAAGCAGAAATTCGCGTAGAAATTGGGCAAAAATGCAATCATTGCACTGAGTGACGTTAGAAAATGCAGCATCAAGAGCCAACCATTCCGATTCCAATTTGCGTAGCCCGAAATTGCATCTATTTCAGACCTTTAGTGCCAATTTGAATCGAATCTTGAAAGCGTGTAAAGTTACGGGAAACATTGTTTAACCTGAAAATAGTGTACGCGACCTGGTATGTATTTGAAAAGTGCGCCTCGGCTAAGTGGCATGCACCTGAAAATGGCCGGTTCTCGGAGCCACATCATCAAAGGCCACGGGATCCACTTCCTCATGTACACGGTTTAGACGCCAGCTGGATTTACCACATTCGTCTGTCAGACTGCAGATGAGATATTTGGTTCTCCGCAATGTAGATATTTCTGCTCGCCGCATTTACTTCAATCAAACGGGTCAATGAAAACGTCGTTATTCTGGGCAATCACAGCCCAAACCTGAAAAACTTGCAGTATGTTGTGCCCGTAAAGTTAGGGGATGAAGCCATCTGATAGGAGTCACGCCAGTTTCCCAGGGAAGTGCGTTAAATATATTGCTGTCGATGCTGCCCGCATTTACCACGAGTAATCCTGCCACAAGTTGACGCTGGTTCGTGCGAATCACATGCGAATCACGAGGGCCATAAGAACTCAGAAACTGATTCGGCTGACGTGAAGTTTGGGAAGTATAATTCCTTTTGGTTAAATATCTCCCCCGAGTTTGTGGCTCCCCTACACCTAGTGCATGCTCTATGTTGCAAAGCCGGCCACTCGCAGCAGACAAGCGGATCTGGGCTTGTTGAGAGATATTTTTCCGCGTGCCGTGTCTGGGCGCCACTGGTCAAACTGCCACGCCGCCAGAATCAATGGGCTCTCCCGAATCTGGCTGTTACCTCCCCCCAAACCAAACCCACACACAACCTCCGCCACATACCCTCGTCGTCGCTACTTGGTCTGGCTCATCCGCACTGTATTCCCTTCCGCTCCGCCTGTGTCCCCCTCCCCCCACCAGCTTTCTCGTTCGCATTTTGTGCAGCTGTTCTGGCCCACCGCGGTTTCAGAAAAGTGAACCAATCTGACCTGGCACCAGAGGCATGGAAGGCCAATCAGTTCCAACCGCGTAAATATCTTCCACAGTCGATTTCTTCCTGATTGCACAGTTCGCCGGCTTCTGCAGCGTGCCTTGCCTTCCGCGCTGTGTTGGTTGAATCGGGTGACTCACATCTCACGCCTTCCAGACAATCAGGAATCATGTTGCGCGAGGAATGGTGGCTATCTAACTACAGTAATGTTGTCTCCATGGGCCCCTCGTCCGCTTGCTTGCTTCTCCCTCCCCTCTCCCCTCCTTGCTTCAACCACCACTCTCACAGCGACCGTCACTTGAAATTCCAATTGCAAATAAGCAAGCATGCCCTTGTTCCTTCAATGCTATCTCTTGTTCAGGCTGTCCCATTAGGGATCAATGAATGTGAGCACAAAAAACGTTAACGCTGCTACGAATTTAACTGTCGTCTCACTGCAACCTTTTTTTTCACGCGAATCAGTGGTGAACCTGTTTCGTAGGTTCCAGCAAGCACTGTCGCGAATCAGTGGCTCTCTTTCTCAACTATCGCTCGACTGAAAAACAAAGCCGAAATGGCACCGCCAGACTCGCCTCGCTCCGCCGCGCCGACGACAAACGCCTGTTACCTCGCTCACGAGGTGCGCCCCTTAATGCCTTGTTAGGAACTGCACGCGATGCCTTGTAAATCTCGACAGGCGGTGCCTTGTAATACACGGCCTTTGCGTTTTGTCTGCGAACGCGTATCAAGCCTCGGAGTTACACGAGTGTCCCATGCCTCGTGCACCTCACTCGCGTCGCCACCGTGCAGGCTCCCGCTGTATTTCACGAGAGCTGTTTGATTTGCAAGGGTTTTATGAGAATTTTCGAAAACACTGCCTCTTAGATACTATCAAACACCCCTCACAAGTCTCCCTCGTTACGCTGTCCTTCCTCTCTCAAGCGCCGCCTTCCACGCGAGTCACGCCCGTGTCATTCTCGTTACAACCATCTTGTGCCCTCGTTTCTCGTTACAACCATCTTGTGCCCTCGTTTCTCGTTACAATCATCTCTTCCGCCCATCTCTTCCTCATCTCCCTTCAGGTGCCTCGATGGATCGCGTCGCATTCAACCGCACCTGCTACAGTGCCAGTCATTCACGCCGCAATAGCTGCTGCGACTCCGTTCCCCTGCCTTCCCGCTGCGCTCAAGCCGCTCCCGTTCTCCGCGCTACCCACCGCCGCCACCGCCGCGACAACCGCGACCACGCTGGCTCCCCTCACGACCTCCCTTCCGCTTTCCCCCCCGTCTTCCGCCCACCTTCCGCCTCCGCCATTCTCAAATCTCCTCTCATCCGGGTCCGCGCATACGTTTCTCCGCCCACGCGCATCTTACGCCGTCGAGCGTGCCGTTCCCGATGCGGACAACCCAATTTCAACCTTCCCCTTCTCCACGCAACAGCCAGGAAGCTTCATCTGCCACCCGTCCCCGTTCTTCCCGGGATATCCCCCGCCGCTTCCGCCGACCCTTCTTGCCGCCGCATCCGCGGATTCCGCCTCCACCGCCGCCGCCGCCGCCGCCTTACCGTCATTTCCCGATGCGTCCCCTATGCTTGTGAGGCCGCGACCTCGCAACGCGACGGTCGCGCTGCCGCTAGTCATTCCTGGCCAGTCAGATGCTCGCAGGATGTTCGATGAGTCCGATGTCGATGCCGCAGCCCACGGCGCGAATCCCGCCGCATTCGACGGCGCGGATCCCGCGGAGGTTGCCGCTGCTGCCGCCGGCGCCGAGCTGGGCGCGCGCGAGCTCGCCGCGATTCGCGCGGTGATTTTGCGACACGAAGCCGCGTTCCGAGAGCAAGTTGCGGAGCTGCACGCGATTTGCGGCGTGCAACGCGGGCTGATGGCGGCGACGGTGAGTCATCCCTCCGACGACGCACCGCGTACCGCGGCGACAAACGCGGCGGGGCAAGAGGCAGCGAGGGGCGAGAAGGAAGCAGGGAACGACGATATGGGGGTAGGTTCGAGAGGCGCGGATGTGGGGGGAGATGGCGGAGTGCGGGCAAATATGGCGGAGCAGGATAACCAGCGGCAAGGAATGGCGAACCGCGCGGGAATGCTTCTCTTCGATTTGGAGCAGCTTCCTGGAAACGACGAGGGGGAGGCGGCGGCGGAGGAGGAGAATGTGAACTTGTGCGTTCGAGACGCACGCGCTTCGTCGATTGCGTCACCTGCGCCGTTCCTAGCTGTTGCGCCTGCGCGCACGCCGTCGTCTTCCGCCGTCCTCACGACCCCGCTCGCGCACTCCGCCATCGGAGTTCCGCCTCCGCCAGTCCTCGCGCCAGCTGCTGCAACATGTTCCGCGGACTCGAGCGCGGGCAGTCACGCGGGGCGTTGCCGCGGAGGAAGTCGGAAGAGACAAACCCCGTGCGATAACAACGCGGCCAATGGGCGGAAGGAGGAAAGCTCTGGCGCGCACGGGGCGCCTGCGGAGAGCGACGCCACGTCAGCATCGGGCGCGTTGGACACGCATGGTAACAGCACTCCACGTCAGCGTGTTGCGAAGAAGCAGAAGCGGGAAGGCGGAGGGGGAAGCGGAAGGGGCGGAGGGGGCGGAAAGGGCGGAACGAAAGGGAGAGGAGGAGCCGGAGGAGTGGGAGGTAGTATCTTGACAGGCAGATCTGCCGGCCCTCCGTCCCCGCAAATCTCCCATTCACATAACACCTCCCCCAGTATCGCCTCTCCTTGTTATCCCTCCACGGCCTCCCTTTCGCCTGCTCTGACGGCTGTTGTTGCAGCCCAGCCGTCACAGCCACCCCAGCCGCCCCAGCAGCAATATCACCTGCCTGGACTGCCAAATTCGCTTCTCAACCACCACTCTCCCCTCGCTCCCTCAGCGCCCTCCTCCCTTCCACCGTCCGCCCTTCCCTTCCACCCGTCATTCCCCTTCCCCTCTGCCTTCACGCCTCCATTCCCTCCTCCCACACCCCCCTCCAATCTCGCCTCCCCCTCCGCCCCACACCTCTGGTCATACCCACCTGCGGCACCAGCACCCGCAGCAGCAGCGTCAGCAGCAGACATGGCATCATCTACAGCAGCATCACCAGCAGCGGCAGCGGCAGCGGCGGCAGCAGCAGCAAACGCGAGCAGTCTCTTTCCTGGCGGCTCATCCTTCACCGGCTGTGCTTCTGGCACCGCTGCTACAATGGCTGCCAGCACCGCTGCAGCAATGAGCGGCACAGCTGCTGCAGCCACGGCAGCAGCTGCTGCTGCTGGAGGGACGTTTGTCCCTGGCATGGCGTCGCCGCTGTATGCTTCGCCCGCGTCCAGTTATGGCATGCATTCCATTTCTGGCATGCCTGCACTCCCTGGAATGTCTACTTTCCCCGGCGGACCCGCTTCCGGAATGTTCTCTATTCCAGGCATGAATCCTTTTTCAGGAATGCATTCTTTTTCAAGCCTGCCTTCTTTCTCAGGGATGGCTTCCAGTTCCGGAACGCCTTCTATTTCTGGAATGCCTTCCTTTTTGGGAATGCCATATTCCTCAGGAGCGCCAGGCACAGGCTACCTCCATCCATCCATGCTCCCCTCATTCCCACCGCCCCAACCTGCACCCTACTGCCTCCCACTCCCCGGCACCACGCTCAACCCAACTGCCATGATGCTGCAACCAGCAGGCGCAGCAGGGGGGGGAGCAGGGGGGAGACGGGCGGGGGGGAGCGCAGGAGCACATGGGGACGTTCACGCAGGGTTCAAAAAACCCCCTCCGCTGGTGCTGGTGAGGGATGGCAGCAGCAAGCAGCAGCGCCTGCTGCCGCCTGACCAAGCAGCCAAGGCGTTCCCGGGTTACAGTCACGAGCCGACACCAGGCAGACGGCAGAAGCAGCAGCTGTTGGGGCAAGGGAGCGTTGCAAGCCCTCGTGGAGGAGATGGTGGGGCAGCAGGTGCTGCTGGTGCTTCCGCTGCAGCCAGCAGGCAGAAACAGCAGCAGCAGCTGTTGCTGCAGCAGGGCGGTGTGTCTGCGCCTTTGCACAAACACACGGGGACTGCTAGAGATGAGGGGAACGGCGCAGAGCAGCTCGGTGGTGATGGCGATGATGAGATGGAGGGGACGAGTGGAGGCAGTGCGAGTGTGGAGAATGGCGAGTCTGGAGATGAGGGAGAGGCGGTGGTGGACCCTGTAGGGCTTCCGGAGGCAGCTGGTTGTTTGGGTTGAGGGTGACAGTTCAAGGGCAGCAGTTTCTCTGACCCTGGTTGAAACAGAAGCTGCTTTCGAATACTTATAAACCGACTTGAGAAAGCTATGTACAAAATTTATTTTGCCTTGGTGTTTGTGTTAGGCAGATATTCGTTTTTGGGACGGGAACATGATATTGTATCTGTTTTGGTACCCTAGCATATCATATTCCATGCTTGCATTGGTTTGTTGAAAAACCTTTTCAACCACTTCGAAATCACTTGAACCTGGAGAGGAAGGGGTATTCATGGAAGAGGACCTTATCGGCAGTGAAGCGGCCCTGCCACGTGCACCAGTAACTTTCCTCGCTTTTCCCTCTGTACTCCTGCGAAATTTCCTGTAATCGTTTCGAGTTGCCACGTGGACGCATTTGCGCCGGCGCGGACCAGGCGAGAGAAAAAGCACACACTCGATAAAAGAACATGAACCTTGAGGGGTGGATCCTGCATTTGTGGCTGAAGACTTCGCTAATTGCGTGCGGTGCAGTTCGGTTCGTTGCATATCTGCAAGGTACAGAAGTTGAACACCGCGTCGAATCTTCTGATGACATTCCCCAGCCAGACCCAATCCACTCGTCCCCCGATACTCCATCCACCCCAGCAGGGAACGCTTTTGCCTGGCTTTGCTGCAAGGCCTCCCTCTCACCGTGCTACCACACACACACCACACCCCTTCCCCTGTCACATATTACTGGTGTTGGGGAAAAAACTAGTTTCATTTTACAAGCCTTGTTGTTGGCTGGTTCCTGGCAGCCGTGTCTAGCGCACATCTGCTCGCTCCACCGTCTGTTTCAGCTCCTCCGAATACGACCAACTAAGGGAGTAAGGAACTGAATTCTGCCGACCATGGCCATGGCGCAGCGGTCGCTACAGTCGCTGGAGTTCAGCCAGCTCAGGCGCGTCGACGGGCTACCGTCGGGCCTCAAAACGCCCAGCGCGAGCGGGAATGGCGTCGTGTCGCTGCTCCCCGGGTCGCAGCAGAAGCAAGTGCGCGTGAAGGGCAAGGCCCGAGTGAACAACGGCTTCGCGGTCCGTGCCTCGGGGGGCGTTGTTGAGCTCGAGCCCGCTTCCCCCGGTAGTCCGATTCTCGGTGCGTGTAGCGAGTACGCCAACCAAACGGCGTCAATTTATGTCTCTCTCCCCCTCCTCCCTCCCCCCCCCTCTTCCTTTTTTCTCTCGCCACTAGGCGTAGGTTCTCGCATTCAGTTCTTATTATTGGTTCATGGTGTGCTGTGTGCGGCACGGTTAGTTCTCAGTCGATCACGTACCACATTCGACCAACCAAGCGAGGAATAGGGTAGTGGTACATATGACATTTAGTCTTGAAGAATAGATGGGCGTCGAAAGTACTGCCCACACGCCGACGCGGCTGATCGTTATGGGCTGTAGGCAAAGCTCACGACGTATGGTGTGAAACTTCGCTTTTCGTGGATTACAAGGCTCACTTCTTCGCAAACTACCTTCTCGCAGGACTTGTTTCTGGCTCACATGCTAGTCTCCAACGTATCGTTAGTAGAATCTCCGAATTTGATTCTCGTAGCTAAGCGATTGTGAATCTCGTTGCGAACCCCGTGAGTAGTTCCTCGGCTACAGTGCACGGACTCGGTGTCAAAGACTCGGTGTCAAAGACTTTTGAGTCGACTCAAAAGTCAACTCATTTGACCAACTCCGCATGCATATTACTAGTAGTCAAGTTAGTCAACCAATTTATTATCTCCTGGCTGACCCCGTGAGCAGTGCCTCGGCTACAGTACGCGGACTCGGTGTCGCAGACGGTTCGGCGAAAGACGCGCACGGTGATGGTGGGTAACGTGGCGGTCGGCAGCGACCACCCCATCCGCGTGCAGACCATGACCACCTCCGACACCAAGAACGTGCAGGCCACTGTCGAGGAGGTGAGTTCCGCTGCAGTTGTTCGTATCGAATCACTTGTAACGCGTACGATAAGGAAATTTAGAGGTCGACTTCGACCGAGTATTTGCGAGCATGTGACGGGTAGTAGCCGTGACGGGAATGCCCAGTATAGCTCGTCTCAGCGATCGGTTACGATCATCATCTCTTGCGTCGAGACTTGGCTCGTGATTAGTCCACTTGTTTTGTGTTTTCTGTCCTTTTTTTGCTCTTGGTATTCTCATTATTGAAAAGGGGTACTACCGGTGTTTTTAAGATCGAACCTTAACGTTTTCTCCCCGTCACTCCCTGCACGCATCCTCCCATCTCCCCCCACCCATCTCCCGCATCTTCTCGTGTGGCTAGGTGATGCGCATCGCGGATCGCGGCGCGGAGATCTGCCGCATCACGGTGCAGGGTCGCAAGGAGGCGGAGGCGTGCGAGCAGATCAAGAACAAGCTGGTGCAGGCCAAGTGAGTGCGGTGCAGTGCGGTGCAGTGCGGTGCAGGCCAAGTGGGCGTGAGTAGCGAGTCGAGCTTGGGGCCATGGGTTGAAGGGACTTGCAGGGCGTGGGAGGGGGATGGTTTGTGACGGAAACGGGTATTGGGAAGAGCTTGACAGAGTTGTTCGGCAAGAAATGAGTAAAGAGAACTCGTTACGCACATGCCCTCATCGTTCCTCCCTTGTGCGCCTGCCCTCCTCTGTCTCCCCGTGCGCATGCCCTCCTCTGTCTCCCCGTGCGCATGCCCTCCTCTGTCTCCCCGTGCGCCTGCCCTCCTCTGTCTCCCCGTGCGCCTGCCCTCCTCTGTCTCGCCGTGCGCCTGCCCTCCTCTGTCTCCCCGTGCGCCTGCCCTCCTCTGTCTCCCCGTGCGCCTGCCTCCCCGTGCGCATGCCCTCCTCTGTCTCCCCATGCGCCTGCCCTCCTCTGTCTCCCCGTGCGCCTGCCCTCATCTGTCTCCCCGTGCGTCTGCCCTCCTCTGTCTCCCCGTGCGTCTGCCCTCCTCTGTCTCCCCGTGCGTCTGCCCTCCTCTGTCTCCCCGTGCGCCTGCCCTCCTCTGTCTCCCCGTGCGCCTGCCCTCCTCTGTCTCCCCGTGCGCCTGCCCTCCTCTGTCTCCCCGTGCGCCCATCCCATCCACAACGCAATTTGTTCTCACCAACCACCCACGGATACCATGTTCTCACACTCGCTTCCTCTCCTTCCAACCCCTATTCCTTTCCATCCATTCTCTCTCTGTCCTCTGGATATGATTCTCCTCTAACGCTGCCCTTTCGCCCCTTAGCCTCTCCCCACGCCACCTCCTTCATCCCCTCCACCACTTTCCCCCCCTCCCCTTTTCCCCGCAACCCCTCCGCAGCTACAATATTCCGCTGGTGGCGGACATTCACTTTGCGCCCACCATCGCGCTGCGCGTCGCGGACTGTTTCGACAAGATCCGCATCAACCCCGGCAATTACGGTAACCTTCCCCCTCCCCTTCCATTTCCCTGCCCCCGCCCCTTACCCTTGACCCCGCCGCTGCCGCTGCCGCTGCCCCTGCCCCTGCCCCTGCCCCTGCCCCTGCCCCTGCCCCTGCCATACTTGCATGCTGTTGCTCCATTCTTGCGCACGAATTTGCTCGCATTGCTGACTGGCACGTTCACACTTCCACCCCCCTTGCTGTCACGTTCTGCGCTTGCCTCTGGCCCAACTGCAGCGGACACGCGCGCGGTGTTCAAGACGGTGGAGTACACGGACGAGAGCTACCAGCAGGAGCTGGAGCACATTGACGAGGTGAGACTCGGAGATGGCTGTACGAGAAGACGAATGAGAGATGAGGTGGTGAGAGATGAGAGCAGAGAGATGAGGGTGTTTAAGACGGTGGAGTGCACGGACGAGAGCTACCCGCAGGAGCTGGAACACATTGACGAGGTGAGACGGGCAGAGGTAGAGACAGGGCGCGAGTTGAGAGACAGGGCGCGAGTTGACGGTGTTACAGGAGGTAGAGACAGGGCGCGAGTTGACGGTGTTACAGGAGGTAGAGACAGGGCGCGAGTTGACTGTGTTACAGGAGGTAGAGACAGGGCGCGAGTTGACTGTGTTACGGGATTGAAAAGCAGGAGACGTGTCTCATGCGAGGAGAAGTGGATGCACGAGAGGTGGTTGGGACCAGTCCCGAACACGGATGGGAGGTCACAGCAGGAGCTGGAGCACATTGACGAGTCGGGATTTAGAGTCGACTGTACGGAGGACGCATGAGAGATGGCGAGAGATCAGAGCAGAACACGGATGAGAGCCACTGGCATGAGCTGGCGCACATAGATGCGGCGAGGCGAGCAGAGGCGAAGAGGGCGAGCGGGTCCAACGGGAACATAGATGAGAGCTGCCGGCTGAAGCTGACGTGCATAGATGAGGTGCGGCGAGCAGAGGCGGAGGAAAGCGGGGGGATTTCTTGTGTGAGGAGGATAGGACGCATGCGAGGTGGGTGGGAGCGAACGACCAGAGCATGCGAGGTGGGTGGGAGCGACCAGAGCATGGGGGCGGTTGGGGCTGATGGCCGAGGTGAGGGCGTGGGACAGAAGGAATAGACCATTGAGCGATTCAAAGACAGGTGGCAGGAGCATAAAACTTTTCAGTTGACTCATAAGTTATGAGTTGAGGGCGAGGGACAGAGAGAACAGAACATCAAGCCATGCGAAGACAGGTGGGAGGAGCATATGTGGTGTGCGGAGGAGATAGTGAGACAGAGGAAGTACATTGTTTTAGAAACGACTCGAAATGCATATGTAGTGTGCAGAGGAGAGGAGATGGCGAGAGCAGGGGAAGGAGGGAGGGGGCGGGCGGGTGTGTGTGAGCGAGACGGTGGAGTGCAGACGGATAGGAGGTAGGAGAAGGAGGGCGAGGGGCGGGAAGGAAGGAGGTATGTCGAGCAGGCGGGTGAGCACATTGAGAGTAGGCTGGCATAGGTTTTCGGGTTTGGTGATGCGCGTGAGGGGCTGGAAAGGGGTATGGGAGGAACGAGACGCACTTGGGTGGGAGGTTTGGCTGTGGGAGAGTGCAGGAACAGGGAGGAGAATGCAGTTCACTCGCTGACATGCATCGCCTCGTGCGTTTATGTGCGGCATCTTGTGTCCTCATTTGTTCATCTGACATCATTCACGTGCGTCCAGGTGTTTTCCAACCTGGTGCTCAAGTGCAAGCTACTGTGCTGTGCAGCATTGCCATCACATCACATGACACATGCACTGCTCCTCATCTGCTCATCTCTTCGTTTGTTCATCTGCATTTGCACTGGGTTTCATAACTCACATTTGCACAGGTGTTCTCCAAGCTGGTGCTCAAGTGCAAGCAGCTGGGGCAGCGCTCACAGCATGCTTGTGGTTTGGCTTGGCTTGGCATGGCATCTCATCTCATCTCATCCACTGCACTGCCCATCTACTCGCCCGCATCCTTCACACGTGTGCAGGTGTTCTCCAAGCTAGTGCTCAAGTGCAAGCAGCTGGGGCGCGCCATGCGCATCGGCACCAACCACGGCAGCCTCTCCGACCGCATCATGAGCTACTATGGCGACTCGCCACGTGGCATGGTGAGTCAGCACACGTGGCATGGTGAGTCAGCACACGTGGCATGGTGAGTCAGCACACGTGGCATGGTGAGTCAGCACTCGTATGTCATGGCGTCTGTTAAACCAGGCGCATTCCACCGCTCTCTCTGTACTTCACCCCTTTGACACAGGTTGAGTCCGCCCTTGAGTTCGCGCGCATCTGTCGCAAGCATGACTATCACAACTTTGTCTTCTTCATGAAGGCCAGCCCAGCAACCCCTCACCACCCCCTTTAACCGCGTTCCACCCCACTCCATGTGCCCCTAACCGCAACTTCGTCTTCTCCATGCTACAGGTGGAGTCCGCGCTGGAATTCGCGCGCATCTGTCGCAAGCACGACTACCACAACTTCGTGTTCTCCATGAAGGCCAGCAACCCCGTCGTCATGGTGGCCGCCTACCGCCTGCTGGCAGCGCAGCTGAGGAGTGCGGGGCCGGACTGGAACTACCCTCTGCACCTGGGAGTGACTGAGGCCGGGGAGGGCGAGGACGGCCGCATGAAGTCCGCCATTGGCATTGGCGCGCTGCTGCAGGTGAGCTGCTCGCTGCTGCAGCTGAGCGGGAGAGGGTAGAGGGGGAAGAAATCATAGTAATGTCGCTCCCAGAGGCGCTTACATGCTCTAAGCTCCTCTCTTAGCCACCTCTCACGCCTCTCGCCCCTCTAACCCCCCCTCACTCTCGAACTCCCACTTGCTCCACATCACGGGCTGGGCAACTCCATTTTGCGTCCCTCGCGGAGGCCCCTGCCTACACGCTTTAAGCGCCCCTCTCGTGCCCCTCTCAAGCACCTCTCGCGCCCCTCGCCCCTCCCCTCCCCATTCCCCACCTCTCCCTTTGCTTCACAGGACGGGCTGGGCGACACCATACGAGTGTCTCTCACAGAGGCCCCTTTAAGCACCCTTATCAATTGACTTTCACGCCCCTCCCCTCCCCTCCCCTCCCCTCCCCACCTCCCCCCTTGCTTCACAGGACGGCCTAGGCGACACCATTCGAGTGTCGCTCACGGAGGCTCCAGAGGAGGAGATTGAGCCGTGCTCTGCTCTCGCTAACTACGGCATGCGCGCCGCCAAGCTCGGCAAGGGTGTGGTGAGTTTCAGCAAGTGGGCCAGGCTCGTTCATCTGCGCACGGTCATGGTGAGGCACGCTCAGCAGATGCAATCAAGCCATGCTCTGCACTCGAGGTGACCTTTGAGTCGACTCAAAAGTCACCTCATTTGAGCATGGTCATGGTGGGGCACGCTCAGTTGATGCAATTGAGCCGTGCTCTGCCCTCGCCAACTACGGCATGCGTGCTGCAAAGCTCGGCAAGGGTGTGGTAAGTGTGAATTAACGAGTGGCTGAGATCCAATCTGAGCAGGGTGATTGCTTGTTCTCTTCCATGAAGTCCTAAAATCCTAAACTAGTCACTGGAAGGATCACTATTGCAGCAAGCACCGCCACACGATCACTACATTCTGGTTCAAATACATCCTAATGTGACAGGAGAGCAATAAGCTAACCTTCTCCGTTCTTATTTTCCCTGCTCCGCCCCTCTCCGCCCCTCTCCACCCTGCTGTACCAACAGGAGGACTTTGAGGAGAAGCATCGCAGCTACTTTGAGTTCTCCCGCCGATCCGGCCAGCTGCCCCTGCAGAAGGAGGTGTGTCTCGCTTCAATCGCCATGTGCTCCGCTCTGCGTTTGCTCTGATGGCCCTGTGCTCTGCTCTGCCCTTGCCCGTGCTTCACATCCGTGGGAACGTTCTTTACCCCAACAACAACACGTCACCCTGCCTGCTCCAATTTGTCCCTTACCTCAAGTTATGTTTGTCATTCCTCTTTTTCCCAGAAGAATGATCGGCAGTTGCTGCTTCCTTCATTTCCATCCCTCCTTCCTCCTCTCCTCCATTTTGCCTCTCATCCTCACCTCCCCTCCTCTCATCTCCTCTCGTCCTCTCCTTCTCTCCTCCGATCCTCCTCTCCTCCCCTCCTCCCCTCCTCTCCTCCCCTCCTCCCCTCCTCTCCTCCCCTCCTCCCCTCCTCTCCTCCCCTCCTCCCCTCCTCTCCTCCCCTCCTCCCCTCCTCTCCTCCCCTCCTCTCCTCCCCTCCTCCCCTCCTCTCCTCCCCTCCTCCTCCTCCTCCTCCTCCTCCTCCTCCTCTCCTCCTCTCCTCCCCTCCTCCTCCTCCTCTCCTCCCCTTCTCTCCCCTCCTTCTTCCCTCCTCTCCCCTCCTTCTTCCCTCCTCTTCCACTCCTCTCCTCCTCTCCTCGCACCAGGGAGACGCTATTGACTTCAGGGGGATGCTGCACCGTGATGGATCTGTGCTCATGTCCGTTGATGCTGCCATGCTCAAGGTGCGATGCGATTATGGCCGTTGATTTGATGCCGCCATGCTCAAGGTGTACTCATTATGCAGATCAAGTTTTCTCTCTCATCTAGGAATATAAACGACCTTCCTTTTTTTACAGGCTGAGATGAGAAGCGGGAAGGCTGAGAGAGGAGCAGCATGAAGGGGAACAGAATACTAGGCAAAATGTGCTGTTTTGTCTCTCAACTCAATGCTCTTCTCTCAACTCAATGCTCTTCTCTCAACTCAATGCTCTTCTCTCAACTCAATGCTCTTCTCTCAACTCAATGCTCTTCTCTCAACTCAATGCTCTTCTCTCAACTCAATGCTCTTCTCTCAACTCAATGCTCTTCTCTCAACTCAATGCTCTTCTCTCAACTCAATGCTCTTCTCTCAACTCAATGCTCTTCTCAAAGCGTAAACCTCCAATTTCCTCGTCTCTCTCAACCCACCAGAACCCTGAGGCTCTGTACCGTGCTCTGGCGTGCAAGATGGCTGTCGGCATGCCCTTCAAGGTGCACACCTCCCCACCTCCCCTTCCCCCTCCTGCACTCACTTCCTCTCGCACTCACTCCTCTCACCGCTCTCCCTCTTCCACTGCCTCCCATTCCAGCCACTCCTCCCCACTCCCACCCCTCTCTGTCTTCTGTCACACCCCGTCAGTTCCCCACACTCCCCCAGCATTCTTGCAAGTGTGTTCTCTTCTCGTCCACTATAGATCTCTACCTTTCTACCTCCCTTCCACTTCCTCGTTTGGGCACATATTGTCTGCTCATTCTGTGCTTCCCTGCACCACTCTCTACCCCTCTGGACAGCTCTCTCCCCTTCTACCAACCGTATCTTGTCTAAGCACCGCTCCCATCCCCTCTGCACCTCTCTCCACCCATCCCCCCTTTTCTATGACCACATTGAAGGCATTGCATTCCCTTTTTCTCCTCAGCGTCTCTCTCCACCACTCTACACCTCTCTCCATCCCTTGTCCCTTGCTTCAGGATCTGGCGACAGTGGACAGCATTCTTCTCCGCCAGGCCCCAGCTGCTGACGACAAGGAAGCTGTGAGTGGGGATTTGATTTGATCCGATCAGCTCCAAGCAAAGATTTGATTTTATCAATTCAGTTGTGGGTGGGGGTCAATCAAGCCTGTGCGAGTCCAAGCCTTTGAGTGGCAGTGATGAGAGCCGTTGCAAGTGCGTGTCATATGAGGGCAGTCCAGCCAACGTGCTGGCTGCTGCCGTGCCGTGTGTGTGTGTGCTGCATGTCAGCACCTCACTGCCGATGATTACACAGCAGCCTTTGATGATTCCTGTCTGAGCCACTCTGCTCTGGATGTGATGTGATGACGACCCTTGCTGATTCTCCTTCACCTTGGTGATTCTCCTTCACCTTGGTGATTCTCCTTCACCTTGGTGATTCTCCTTCACCTTGGTGATTCTCCTTCACCTTGGTGATTCTCCTTCACCTTGGTGATTCTCCTTCACCTTGGTGATTCTCCTTCACCTTGGTGATTCTCCTTCACCTTGGTGATTCTCCTTCACCTTGGTGATTCTCCTTCACCTTGGTGATTCTCCTTCACCTTGGTGATTCTCCTTCACCTTGGTGATTCTCCTTCACCTTGGTGATTCTCCTTCACCTTGGTGATTCTCCTTCACCTTGGTGATTCTCCTTCACCTTGGTGATTCTCCTTCACCTTGGTGATTCTCCTTCACCTTGCTGATTCTCCTTCACCTTGCTGATTCTCCTTCACCTTGCTGATTCTCCTTCACCTTGGTGATTCTCCTTCACCTTGGTGATTCTCCTTCACCTTGGTGATTCTCCTTCACCTTGGTGATTCTCCTTCACCTTGGTGATTCTCCTTCACCTTGGTGATTCTCCTTCACCTTGGTGATTCTCCTTCACCTTGGTGATTCTCCTTCACCTTGGTGATTCTCCTTCACCTTGGTGATTCTCCTTCACCTTGGTGATTCTCCTTCACCTTGGTGATTCTCCTTCACCTTGGTGATTCTCCTTCACCTTGGTGATTCTCCTTCACCTTGGTGATTCTCCTTCACCTTGGTGATTCTCCTTCACCTTGGTGATTCTCCTTCACCTTGGTGATTCTCCTTCACCTTGGTGATTCTCCTTCACCTTGGTGATTCTCCTTCACCTTGGTGATTCTCCTTCACCTTGGTGATTCTCCTTCACCTTGCTGATTCTCCTTCACCTTGCTGATTCTCCTTCACCTTGCTGATTCTCCTTCACCTTGCTGATTCTCCTTCACCTTGCTGATTCTCCTTCACCTTGCTGATTCTCCTTCACCTTGCTGATTCTCCTTCACCTTGGTGATTCTCCTTCACCTTGGTGATTCTCCTTCACCTTGGTGATTCTCCTTCACCTTGGTGATTCTCCTTCACCTTGGTGATTCTCCTTCACCTTGGTGATTCTCCTTCACCTTGGTGATTCTCCTTCACCTTGGTGATTCTCCTTCACCTTGGTGATTCTCCTTCACCTTGGTGATTCTCCTTCACCTTGGTGATTCTCCTTCACCTTGGTGATTCTCCTTCACCTTGGTGATTCTCCTTCACCTTGGTGATTCTCCTTCACCTTGGCTGATTCTCCTTCACCTTGCTGATTCTCCTTCACCTTGCTGATTCTCCTTCACCTTGCTGATTCTCCTTCACCTTGCTGATTCTCCTTCACCTTGCTGATTCTCCTTCACCTTGGTGATTCTCCTTCACCTTGGTGATTCTCCTTCACCTTGGTGATTCTCCTTCACCTTGGTGATTCTCCTTCACCTTGGTGATTCTCCTTCACCTTGGTGATTCTCCTTCACCTTGGTGATTCTCCTTCACCTTGGTGATTCTCCTTCACCTTGGTGATTCTCCTTCACCTTGGTGATTCTCCTTCACCTTGGTGATTCTCCTTCACCTTGGTGATTCTCCTTCACCTTGCTGATTCTCCTTCACCTTGCTGATTCTCCTTCACCTTGCTGATTCTCCTTCACCTTGCTGATTCTCCTTCACCTTGCTGATTCTCCTTCACCTTGGTGATTCTCCTTCACCTTGGTGATTCTCCTTCACCTTGGTGATTCTCCTTCACCTTGCTGATTCTCCTTCACCTTGCTGATTCTCCTTCACCTTGGTGATTCTCCTTCACCTTGGTGATTCTCCTTCACCTTGGTGATTCTCCTTCACCTTGGTGATTCTCCTTCACCTTGGTGATTCTCCTTCACCTTGCTGATTCTCCTTCACCTTGGTGATTCTCCTTCACCTTGGTGATTCTCCTTCACCTTGCTGATTCTCCTTCACCTTGGTGATTCTCCTTCACCTTGCTGATTCTCCTTCACCTTGCTGATTCTCCTTCACCTTGCTGATTCTCCTTCACCTTGATTTATCCTCCCCTCTCATCGCTCCCTCCCCTCCCATTGCTCCCTCCCCTCCCATCGCTCCCTTCCCTCCTATCAGCGTCTGGCGCTGAGGCGACTGCAGGAGGTGGGCGTGGCCGTGTTGGTGCCGGTGGAAGCCCTCACAGCCACCCCACTCTTCCCCTGCCCCGCTTACCTCCCCCTCCCACTTCCCATGCCACTCTCTGCATTCCCTCCTATCAGCGTCTGGCGCTGAGGCGGCTGCAGGAGGTGGGCGTGGGTGTGCTGGTGCCGGTGGAGGCCCTTGCAGCCGCGCCTCTCCCCAATGCCGTGGCACTGCTCTCCCTGGAGCAAGCCAAGCTGGGCGTGCACAAGCACCTGCCGCAAGGTGGGTGGTGTTGTTTGCATGTATGTGTGCACCGGAGTGCGCTTGCTGCATCTCCTCCTGCTAGCTCAGTAGCAGCCGCGCCTCTCCACAACGCCGTGGCACTGCTCTCCCTGGAGCAGGCCAATCTGGGCGTGCACAAGCACCTGCCTCAAGGTGAGAGGGTGGTGCTGTTAGCATGCACAAGCACCTGCCTCAAGGTGAGAGGGTGGGGCTGTTAGCATGCACAAGCACCTGCCTCAAGGTGAGAGGGTGGTGCTGTTAGCATGCACAAGCACCTCCCTCAAGGTGAGAGGGTGGTGCTGTTAGCATGCACAAGCACCTGCCGGAAGGTGGGTAGTGCTGCTAGTGTGCTCTGTAGGAGCTGCACTGCACAGAGAGAAGGTGGGGGGTGGCGTGCTCAAGCACCTGCTGCTAGAAAGGGCTCTGCATTGGAAAGGGCTCTGCATTGGAATCATGATGTGTAACAAGAGTATGCTTGCTGTTTCCTTCTGCTTGCTGTTTCCTTCTGCTTGCTGTTTCCTTCTGCTTGCTGTTTCCTTCTGCTTGCTGTTTCCTTCTGCTTGCTGTTTCCTTCTGCTTGCTGTTTCCTTCTGCTTGCTGTTTCCTTCTGCTTGCTGTTTCCTTCTGCTCTCTCCTCTCTGCCCTCTCTTGAACTCCCTTTGACTGCGACTGTGCATTTTCCCTGCTCTCTCCTTGTGCCCTCACGTCTCCTATCTTTTCTCCCTCCTCTCCTCCCTTCCCTCTCTCGTCTCCTCTCTGTCCAAGCAGGAGCGGCGCGCTTTGCAGTGAGTGTGAGGGGCGATGAGAGCGAGGAGGACCTGAAGGCATTGGTGGGGCTGGACGCGGTGATGCTGCTGGCACACGTGCCGCCGCAGGCAGAGGACAGCACCGTCAGCCGCGTGCACAGCAGCCGCAGGTGAGAGTGGTGCTCATAAGGATGGGTGCATGCATGGGTTCAAGGATGGGTGCATGCATGGGTTCAAGGATGGCGTGTGGGCGTATGGGTGCACGGGTGGGCTGGCGTGTGTGCCAATCTGCTGTGCCCACTTGACCCGCTGGTGCCACTGCAGGCAGACAGGCGTGCACGCAGCTCCCCAGTGAGTGGAAGGCATGTGTCTCCTGAGGCTGATCCAGCAGCCTTCTGGACTTCCAGCCACAGCAGCATGAGACTGCTGAGCCTGCTGGACTTCCCTTCATCAGTCTAGCCTGATGCCCCTCCACTCGTTTTGCTACCGCTTCAACTCAACTGCCTCCCATGCACCTTCCCCATGCCCTCTGCTTCCATGTGCCCCATCCGTGTCCCTCAGGCTCTTTGAGTTCCTGCAGTCCAATAACATCACGACACCTGTCATCCACCACATCAGCTTCCCCGAGGGCACGTCCAAGTACGTTACCTCCACCTCTGCCTCGCTCCACCTCTGCCTCGCTCCACCTCTGCCTCGCTCCACCTCTGCCTCGCTCCACCTCTGCCTCGCCAGCCACGGGTAGAAGTATAGTGTTGAGACGTCTCCAAACTACACTTTCTACCCCAGCCTGCCTTTCCTGCCCAACCCAACCTGCCCTCCCCATCGTCCTCTCCCCAACCCCCCTTCCCAACCTCCCTTTTTTAACCTCCTCTCTCCAACCCCCTCTCTCCTGCCTTTACATCATGCAAATTCTTCACGTGTCCCTTGGTCTCTCTCCGCACGCTGTTCCCTCATCTCATCCCTTCTTCCGTCCTTCTGACTTGCCACACTCGCAACTAGTACGTCCAGGCAAAGCAGCCTTGCTCTTCCTCCCCCGCTCCCACCACCTGCCGTGCTCGCCTGTGCCAGGGACGGTCTGGTGCTGCAGTCAGTGGCGAGTATGTTCTGAGTCGACTTGAAACACACCTGCTCACTCTTGGTCCTTGCTTACGTGTCTCTCCTTCCCCTCCTCCCCCCCTTCCACTCCTGCACCTGCCGTGCTCTCCTCCTGCAGGGACGATCTGGTGCTGCAGTCAGGTGCCGAGGCCGGTGCTCTGCTGGTGAGTCACCCACTCACCCACTCACTCACTCACTCACCACCATGCCACGCTGCCTTGTTCCATGCTGCCTTGCCCCATGCTCTCCTCGCTGTTATTCTGCCTTAGTGCCTCTTTGTGCCTCTTTGTCCGCTATTACTCTGTGCATCCCTGTCACTCCGTACCTCTGCCTTCTCCCATGCCCCCTCCCACTGTACAGTTTGGGCGATGACAATGCTGCTTTGTCTGATTCTTTAATCCACTTAAAAATACGATATAGGCGATGAGACAGAGTGCTGCTGGAGGCGCCAAGCCACGACATGGAGTTACTTGCTTCAATCCTCCCTCCCCCTCCTCTTCCCTGCCCCTGCCCCTGCCCCTGCCCCTGCCCCTGCCCCTGCCCCTGCCCCTGCCCATCCGCTGTCCCCCACTCCCTGCCTCTTGGTGTCTCTACGGGCGGGCATCACCAGGTGGACGGGCTGGGAGACGGAGTGCTGCTGGAGGCGCCAAGCCACGACATGGAGTTCCTGCGCAACACGTCCTTTGGCATGCTGCAGGGCTGCCGCATGAGGAACACCAAGACGGTGGGTTGGCAGTCTCGTGCGAGTAGACTGCTCCCCAAGTGCCCAAATGCGGCCGCCAACGTGCCTCAATTCCATTCATCAGCTGTCGAGTCTCAGGCATCTCACTACCACCCATCGCCCCTTCCCAATTCCCTCACACTCTGTTTGATCTGTAGGAGGTCATTGCCTCCATCGGCACCTCCCTCCCCAACCCTCCCCACCCCTCCTCACCCCTCCCTCTCCTCTCCCCCTCCCCATCCCCCCTCCCCTTCCCAGGAGTTCGTCTCGTGCCCATCATGCGGCCGCACGCTCTTTGACCTGCAGGAGGTGACGGCCTCCATCCGCGAGCGCACCTCCCACCTCCCTGGCGTTGCTGTGAGTCCCTCTCTTCTCTCCACCTGCCGTCTCTGTTTCGAGCAAGACTGTACACGCCTTTGACAGCACTGTGCTGTCAGCACATATATATACATTGTGAACGGCCTGGTGAGAGGGCTGGTGCTCATTTCATCCTCTTCGTCCTCTCCTGTACTTACCCCCTGCTGTTCCCCCTCTCCCCCGTCCTTTCCCCCCACCCCCCACAGATTGCCATCATGGGGTGCATTGTGAATGGGCCGGGTGAGATGGCGGATGCTGACTTTGGCTACGTGGGCGGGGCGCCGGGCAAGATCGACCTCTATGTCGGCAAGGTGGGTGTGCTTGGGTGGCATGCTGGGTGGTGCGGTGGTTGCATTTTTGGTGGGGCTGGCATGGTAGGCAGCATTGTAGGTGGCACGGTGGGGGGCATGTCGGTGGCATGGTGGGCGGCAAGTTTGTCCTGTGCATTCATTTGGGTCACGGCAGGCCCTCCAGTCTTCGCACTCATTCTAGCCACAGGCACCCACCTAGTCAGTGCACAGACTTGTGGGCTTGGTGGATGGAACACGCAAGGGCGCTTGCATCCTTGACCATTCACAACACCCCACACCACCGCACACCACCCGACCGTTCCACACCATGGCATTTCCTGCCCCTAGGAAGTGCAGCAACGTGCTGTTCGTGATCCGTCCATCCGCATGCAGGCAGTTCTCTGAGAACCATGTATCTCACTCCCATCCCATCCGTCCCGCCCATCTGGAGCCGTCCATTCATGCCAGCCCTCTTAACCCCCCCCCCATCACACCATCCCATCCCATTCCACCGCAATCCACCCCACCCCATCTTTCCCCCCAACAGGAGGTGGTACAGCGCGCCATCCCCATGGAGGAGGCGACAGACGCGCTGGTGAAGCTGATCAAGGACCACGGCCGCTGGGTGGAGCCGGCTCAGGAGGAGGAGGCGGCGCAGGCCGTGGCGGCTTGAAGCAGTGGTTCATTGCGCGCACGCGCCTTGTGACCTGTTTGGGTGCTAGACGGCAGGGTGAAACACGCTCCTTGCTTTTGAGCAGCTGCCGTGACTCATGAGCTTGCTTTGCGAAACATGTTAGTGGCGGTTTTTAACAGAGGATGAGCAGTCTGAGGGTAGACCGCAGGCTGCATGGTGTAGAGAGTGAAAGGGAGTGGTGATGTGAGGGCGTGCTGTGTGCTGCAAGGATCATGGTTGCAGGATTGAGGGACTTGGCAGATGTGGTTGTGTCTTGAGAGAGAGCCTTGTGTGTAACCATTATGTTTTGCCTTGCATTATTGTTCATACATCAACAACCATAACCACTGTTCAGGGCAACAATAAGAAGCTGAAAAGTTCAGTCACCATAGCAAAATTTATTACTGCTGTCCTCTCTATAAAGCCTTAGCTGTGACACACCCTTACAAATGGTTGATATACCACAACTTAGACCTAAACCCCAGACCTTATGGCACAGCTTAGCTCTTGTGTGCAAGTGTCTTGCAAAAGGATTTATCTTGACAAGCTGCAATTATCATGACAAGCATGTTGGGCTGAAAGAGCCCTTAGGATCTAAGCAGGACTAAACTCTGACTAGGAACAATGTAGTAGCGGAAGCGTTTAATGATAAGTTTGTGAACCACCTTGCGCTGGTATGTGAGGGTAAAGCAAAGAGATACAAGCTTTTACGGTATAAGAGTACAAGGAATATGAAGAGATACAGTTAATAACCGTTTTACTATTGCTGTTGCGGTTCGATACAGTGACGACTCGGGCAACTGCTCAATAACGAGTCAATAGTTTCCCCTTGCTATCGCGCTGTATTTGTCAGGTCAAAGGTCGCTGACCTTTGACTTCCGCGTAACCTCCAGCAGTTGCTCAACCTCCGAAGGTTGACTCGCTCATGTTTCGCTGTGTTTCGCTTCGTTTACGACTTAGTGTTTCGACGCGACACAGGCGCTTAAATCACTTGTTTCCAACACTCCCCTTCGCTTCTGGAGTGTCGCCGCTGGTGAGGTGGCTCTGTCCAGTCAGCAGCATGCAGTACTCGAACTTCTGCTTTCCGAGCTTCTTAGTCAAGTAGTCAGCAGCCATTTCGGATGTGGGGCAGTAGGACTGTTCGAGTTTGCCCTTCTTGATCTCGTCTTTTACGAAGAAATATCGTAGGGCGATGTGCTTCGTCCGGTTCGCGAATCCATTTTTGTTCGCGATGCGGATTGCTGACTGGTTGTCGCAGAACAGGAAGCTGGGTAACTCAGCCAGCTTCGCTTCCTCCAGGAGTTCGCGAAGGTACAGTCCTTCCTTGGTGGCTGAACAGAGTGCGATATATTCTACTTCAGTTGAGGAGAGGGCGATTAACTCTTGCTTGCTCGACTGCCACGAGAAGGTCAGATAGGTTCGAGGCGATAGATGTAGCCGGTGCGCGAGCGTCTGTTGTCGGAGTCGCCGGCGTGATCGGCGTCGACGTGGCCAATTAACTTAGGTGTCGAGGTTCCGTTCTTGTGATAGGTCAGGCCGATCGTCGGAGTGCTAACGAGGTAGTGAAGAGCGCGGTCGAGCTCCGCCATGTGCTCTGCTTCGGGCCTTTTGAGGTAGGTGGCGAGTTGACTCGCAGAGTACGATAGATCCGGACGGAAGGTGACGGCCGCGAAGAGGAGGCATCCCAGCTTTCTCTGGTAGTCGCGTATGTCGGCGGGCTTGAGCGGAGAGGAGCCTTCCTTGTGATTTCCTGCAGTGTAGCTGTATCGCGTGGAGATGGTGATCGGGGTGAGTCCGAAGCGTTTGGCGATTATGTCGGCATATTTCGCGGCGCTGAGGTAGATCGCGCCTTCCTCTCCCTGGATGTTAAGGCCGAGGTATTAAATGACGGTTGATGACACTGTGAGAGTGAGGTCCTGCTGCAGCTCCCCTTCGAACCAAGTAGTGACGTTGTCAGTCGAGCCGATGTAGAGCAGATCGTCTAAGTAGACGATCAACAGAATGTAGTCGTCACCTTTCGTGAGCCGGTACATACCCTGGTCGTGCGGAAATTGGCGGAATCCGATGCGGATAAGTCTAGCGTGTAGGTACTGTTGCCACAGTCTCGGGGCCTGTTTTATACCATACAAGGACTTCAGTACCGTCTTGTTGTGTGCCACGCCGCTGGGAACGACTTTCCAGGTGTTCCGTTCTTCTAGCGCTTTCAGTTCCTTCTCCATGGCTTCGCGCCATTTTTCCTTATGCTCCCCCCCCAGAGCCTGCTGAACTGTGGCAGGCTCCTTAGGAATCGCTGTGCCGTGGACCGCGGTGATGCGTTGTTCGGGAGCGATGATGACGAGAGCAAGTTGTGCAGCATGACAGCGTGGTCCATTGCTTCGGGCCGTTGGTGGTTGGGAAGCCGCATGCCACGTAGTAGCTTGCGCATGGTGTTACGGAGAGTCCCGTTCATTCTTTCTGCTACACCTTGCTGTTGATGGGCGTAGGGAAGGGAGATGAGCCGCTTGATTCCCCTCTCTGCCAAGTACTGCTTGAACCTCTGTGAGGTGTATTCTCCTCATCCATCAAACTGGAAGCTTCACGCCTGATTCTCATTCTGCTACTGGGAGCCAGGCAACGAAAGCCTCGAAAGCCATGTCTTTGCTCGGAAGATTGAGGTGCCAAACGTAGCGTGTGGCGGCATCGATGAACGTGATGGTGTAGCTGTATGCTCCTTGTCCAGGTTCGTGATTGTACAAGATGTCGCTGTACACTTTCTTGAGTGATGCGTAAGCTGGTGCGCTCGGGTTGTGGTGAGAAACGAACGGCCGATGTGGTAAGTCGGCTTTGGGGCAGGTAAAGCACGTTCCGCGAGCTTGTCGAAGTTCGCTTCCGTCGGTTAGGAGCAGTGAGTCTTTGTCGAGCACTCCTACTCTGATTGTGTTATTTAACATTATGTTGCTTGGATGTCCCATACGTACGTGCCAGATGTCTTCGCCAGCTCGATGTCAGGGTGAGCGACGGTACTAGTCAGAGTTGGAGTAGAAGCTTGCGGTGAGGTTTGCACTTCGATGTACTTCTCGTGGTGTTGGGTTCAGTTGTTGCGCAGAAGTCGGTGGAGAGTCGTCGACGATTGGGGCTGGTGTAGTTGAAGGACCCGCGATTAGTGCCGATGCTGTCTCTGCTGCTGCCGATGTTGTCTCTGCTGCTGCCGATGTTGTCTCTGCTGCTGCCGATGTTGTCTCTGCTGCCGATTGAATTGTTGCTAATGCTATTGTTTGTTCTGCCTCAGGGATGGTGTGCGAATACTAGAAACCTTCGGGGCTGAAGTCAGGATCGAGATCCAGTGGGTGCGTCGAGGAGGTGAAGGTGACGATTCCGTCGCTGTGGGCGGTGCCTAGATCTGGAACGATTTGAGGACGAACATGTTGTTCATCAGCACGGCCTTGCCGATGTAGAGGCCTCCTTTTCCGTGGTACAGCTTGAACTTCTGTGTCGTGCTGTCTGCTTCGAGATGGATACCTTTCGCCATCAGCTGACTGACACTCAGTAAGTTGTAGCCGAGTCCCTCCGCAATTAAAACATTTGATATTTGCAGTATGACGTTTGTCTCTCGTGACTGAAGTTGCACTACGCCTTGTCGTCGTGTGCGCAGGTTCTGATTGTTGGCGACGGTGATGATGACTTCGCGCTAAAGTTGGTGTTCGCGTTGAACGAAACGACCCGAGGAACACATATGCTGCTCGCAACAAATTGTCCAAGAACCAGGTGTCCTTCCCGGATGGTTCGCTTTGGGCGATAGCTGCGTATGTCGGGTTCGGTTGCAGTGACTCACGCCGTGGAGTACTTTCATCGAGTTGTTCTTCAGGTGAGTAGTGCGGCGGTGATTCGGTGATGCAGGAGTCGGTCAGTCTTGCCATGCAGCTGGCGATGTTTCTTGTTCCTTGCGCAGGTTGTCCCGTCGACGTTGTTGAGGCTTGTACTTGAGTGGTGTATGAAAATCTGAGGAAGGAATGATTACATTGAGCAGCATGAGGAGTACAAGTAGGAAACCCTAAAGTGTTGTACCCCATATTGACTACCCCACTACAGCCTAAACAAACTATAGCATATATAGTTCGACACACCCCCATAGGCAAAGTGGGGGAGAACAAGGGGTCACAAGACCAGTTAAGAGAAGCAAGCCAAGCCCAGGGTGGATCAAAACGTCACCACACAACTCAGCGGGTGATGTACATGGGGTGATGTATATGGGGGGGGGGGTTCCTGGCACAGAACTCAGCGGGAAGCGCAGCGCGGTAGCGAGTGTCACGAGTGCGAAGAAGCATAATGAGGTCAGCGACTGTGGGAAAGGCAGCAAGGTCAGGGAACAGGTACGGCAGGATGAGGCGGCTAAGCGCAGCAGTGGCAGGGGAAGAGTAGCACGCAAATACAGCGTCGTACAAGGTCTTAGCACTCTTGTACTGGCTAAAGTGCGCACGCTCAGTGGTCGGTAAGTGGCGTCGCACAGCAAGACGTGCAGCAGCATCACGTGTGGCCTACTGTGAGCGAACAGTGCTATCAGCAGTAGCACGCGGGGCAGGAGAGACACCAGAGGTGAGATCGAACAGTGAGAGTCCGTCCGCCCTATCGCACTGTAAGAACAGCTGGAGGTCATCGACCCAGACCTCAAAGTCAACAGCACGACCCTCAGTATCAAAGGTAAGGACACTGGGGGTAGCCATGACTGCAGTGGCCTATCAGGGAGTGAGCTTACCAGTCCAAGGAAGTAGGGCCGGGGCGCGCCGGAAGAAAGGGCGGCTCGGCGGCTCGGCTGCTCGGCTGCTTGGCGGCTCGGCTGCTGGGCGGCTCGGCGGCTCGGCTGCTGGGCGGCTTGGCGGCTCGGCTGCTGGGCGGCTCGGTGGCTCGGCTGTCTGGCGCCTCGGCTGCTGGGCTGCTGGCAGCTTGGAAGGGGCCGGTAGAGACGGCGATGGGGCCGTGAAGGGGGGGCGGCGACGGGGCCGGTGAGGGCAGCGACCGGGCCG